CTAAGTGGTGAGAAGCTGGATTTTGAGGTGGAGGGGTATTCACTGACCTGCCACTCTTCTGGATAAGGGTTCCTCCTTGTGTGTGTACTTCCCACTTTCGGAAGAGAGCTCAGGATCATCAGGTTGTTGGGAAGGTCACCGCCACCAGGCAGTGATGAAAATCCTATTAGAACGACCCTTGCTTTTTGCCCTTGTATGTATTACAAGACCAACTTTAACCTTCTTCCTTGTTGTTCCTTTAATCCTCATCAAAGCAGCATATGCTACGTATCCTTCTGCCATGTTAAAAAAAAAAAAAAAAAAGGCTCCCAGCATGACCACAGAGGCTGTGAAAAGACAGAGAATGAGCTCTGTCTGGTAAGACATCTAACAGGACATTTCCAATGCCTGTTGTAGATACTTTTTCACAGCTTGGACTTGGAGTCTGTCAGTTCCACATATTGACTTGGACACTCTGATTTAACTGCAGCATGGCCCTTGAGGCTGGAGGTAGTCTGGGAGCATTTAATACATGCTGACATCCCTAGATTGCAGAGTCTGGGCCATCTAACAGTCTGGGTTCAAAGCCAGCAACGCTGAGAGTTGTTTCTGAAACCCTTGGAGACAAAAAGATTTTGCAAGCAATTGACTCTCCCTTTCCAGTGCCAGCCATGGAAAGGGGCTAAATATGACCAAGGAGCAGGCCTTCTATTGGCAGCTCTTCTGTGGTGGGAGATAAAGCAGCAGTTGTCACTTCCGTATATCAGGAAGAGAAGCTAAAACTCAGGGCAATTCATTTTCAGAACCTACCTCCTAGCCCAGAGCAGAGCTGGGGTCAGTGCCAGGAGGCCTGACTGCCAGGCTAGTCTCCCCAGGAGCCGAAGGCACCGCTGAACCATGGAACGATTCAGGCTGGAAGGGAATGATCCAACCCAGAGCCAACAACCAAATTGGATAAATTTGCTTGGAGCCTTGCCCATCGTGAAGACAACTTATGGTTTGAGTGATATATTCGCTTCGTGCCAAGACAATGTGGGAAACCATGGGTGGCAGCAAATTCTCTGTTCCTGGGGCAGATCCGCAATCCCAAAGCCAGCCAAAGGTCCTCGTATTGTGCCCAGTTCAGCTGTTGAGTCTCCAGCTGCTCTGGTGCCCCCGAGGGCTGTTTGCCATGGGGGGAGAGGAGCAGCTGGCTGCGCTATGTGAAGTGTCTGCCTTTTCCCAAGATACCCATTGTCTGTCTGTAGCATCAGCCTCCACCCTACTTGTTCACTCAGCCGTGGCAGATGCCTCTTTAATTAAAGAGGAGAAACAATTTGAGTTTTCATTTTCTTTTCTCAATCCCATTTCCAATTTCCATCAGAGTTTTTAGCCCTCTCTCCTTAATTTTTTCTTGAAGTTTTGATGTGGTGTCTTTGCTTTATGGGGTATTTGCCCTTAAATAAGGAAGAAATAGAACAGAAAGGGGGACGAAGGGCGAAAAAAGCTTGTTTTGGGCCAGGGAATTAAGATCTTGAGTCAGATGGCTGCTGCAGTCATTAACATATTTACATTTTTGCTTAAGAGCCTGGTTGAGGATCAAGGGAGTTAAGGGTGATTGTCACTGAAATGCAGAGGAAACCTTGCATGAAATCGCCGTTAGTTTCCCATTGTTTGGGGACAGGGGGGCAATCAGCCGTCCTCATCCCTGCGCTGGTTGGGTTGCACTTGTCTGCCCAAGGAGAGGGGCAGAGGACGAAGTAACCAAGCTGAAGGAAGCCTCCACGCTGATTTAACCCAGGGAGCGCTTCCTCTGGGGCAGGACCCGGGGCTTGCTGCTGGCTGCCCGTCAGCTCTGGCCTCTCCGTGACACAGAGGTGCTTGCCTGGGCTCGTGGGACAGCCAGTCCTTACTGAGATCGTCATGGATAAATATATGAGGCGTCTAGTGAAGGTCAGTTGCTTTTATAATTGATGGACCCAAGTGTCTTGTGTGTGCCATCACAGGCTGCTTTTGTGGTGCATGGAGGCTCTTCTTCTGCAGGATTGACGCAGGGATTGAGGCAGATTGAAGTGTTGGGTGGATTTGGGGTGCTGTGGTGTCATGGTGACAGATGAGTTTAATGTTCCTTTATTTTGTTTGAATAAGTTTAAGTATAAATAAGAGAATTCCCTTACAGCTGGGGTTTACAGTAAAACATTCTGCTCTAGCTCGTGGAAACTGTGTTCTAGTCCTGTTCTGAGGCAGGCATTTTTGGTTCAGATGCCAGTTGTTTATTGTTCACCTATTGCTCTTTCATGCTGTTCAGACCCACAGTTCCAATTCAAACTTATTTCTAACTGGAATCAATGTCATAGTGCCTAAAAGAAAATTATACATGGTAACGTGGCAGAGGAAATTGGGCTGCCGAATACACTGATGGTACTGAAAATACCAGCTACCTTCTAATGCTGCTTTGGTGGGAAAAGCAGGAAGACAGTGCCCTGGAGGGGGAATGCTCGTGCCTAGTGGTGTAAAAGAAGCATCCTCAGAGCTGTCTTGTTTGTGGGTGCTGAACAGGCTTCAGCTGTCTGTCTGGAAAGCCAGCATCCAGCAACAGATGCGGACAGTACCGGCCTGAGTAGCAGGATCCTACCTGCTCCAGTGCTAGGGAGTCTGGAGTCATTATTGTGTCCTCGTGGGCTGGTTTGAAGTTCTGCAGTGCTTGTGTAATCCCTGTTCTTGGTTACAAAATGTTTCTTTTTGGAATGCTTTAAAACAGAACAAAGTCTGGGAAAAGTGGTTCATGATCTGAGTAGCGTTTTTGTACTTGGGGAGCCTGCAGGCTTTGGCTCTTGTATCTCTTCTGGCCTTTGAAGGGTCATCGACGTTGCCCACTGCTGTGGTGGTTGGTCTTTCTACAAAGTCAAACAGTGGGCACACAGCATGGGGGGAGATTCCTGTGCTTCAGTTGCTGACCCTGGCCCTCAAACTGGGAGGCATTCAAGCCTTCAAGGAGCAAATGGTTTTGCTCTAGATAAGATAAATTCTGACATCTTAAATGTCCAGACATACTTGAAGTGGTACAGTTAAGTAAGGTGTTGGTTGGGTCAAATGTTTTCAGGAAATGAGGATGAACACAGCAGTGTCTGTGGGATTGCAGGTGTTAGATCCATTCATTGAATGACTCATCTCTCTGCTTCTGCAAATTCCCCTTGAGAAAGGTCACCTCAGGTATTATGCTAGTAATACTTTATTTCCTGGGTATCTGTGCTCTGGGACTGGGCACTGCAAAATTCAGATTTCTTGGGCATCCCAGCAAGAGCCCAAAAGCACCAGAGCTGAGCCTTTTGGAGAACCCCTATCTTTTGGGTTGGTTTTAGGATTCAGTTTGTTAAAGCATTAGAGCAGGGTGACTGGAGTAGGGGGAGCTGAACTTGTTCAGGGATTAATATTAAGCCCTTGTTTAACAGTAAACAGCTGATGAAATCCACCTTTGGCTCGAGGTGCCAGCTGTCAGGAAGGGTACATCCAGGCCACCTCACAAGGACAGAGCAACCTTTGGCAGGTGGTGGGGGTGAGCACCCAGCTCTGTCTTGGTTTGTGTTGTTCTGTGTAATCCACTTTTCCCAGCAGCTTCTACATGAAGAAGCTGCTGCTTTGACAAAATAGTACGCCAGCCCTGCTCCAGCATGGGACAGCGATCTCCCCTGCTCAGGTTAGGCAGCTCTTCCTCAGCAAAGCAGCCAGTGATAACAGAGTCCCCAGGAGCAGTGGGAGAAATGTACTCAACTCAGGCCAGAAGGAGCTGGAGCCAGGTCCTTGCACGCGGCAATGCATCCTCTAAACAAGCTGCCGTGCCTGAAGCCGCTCTGTGTTGTAGCAGCTCTGCTTACAGCTGAGCAGTGCCAGCCCTGTTGGCAGGCGGCATCCTCTGCCACATCCCTCTTCTCACCCGCTCCCTTGCCAAGGCAGCCTTTACTCTGCTGCGTCTGATCGAAGGCCCGGCGCCTGTTCAGCTTTTTTTCTGTTAGGAAAGAGTGAGAGGATTGTCAGGACCTTTTTGGCTCTGCCAAGGCCTTTTATGTCCCAAATGTTTTCATGAAAAGACTCCCTGACCACCCTGCCCCCTGACAGCCATTCACTCCAGCCAACAACTTGATATCATTATCTACAAAAGGAGGCCAGTGAGCACCAGGGAGCTTAGAGCCAAGTTTGGGAAATCAAAGGCAAATCTCCCAGCAACAGAATTCTGGCAGAGATGGGGCTGTGCCCCAGCTAGCGCAGGATGGTCTGGCTGCCTGTGTCCGCTGGCTTTCAAAGCACAAAAGAAACATGCTTGGCGTGGTGCCAGCGCTGGCTTTGTTGGGGCTGGGGGTGTGCCCGCCTGCGTGCGAGGGCTGCCAGCAGAGTGCCCTGGGGAGCTCAGTGTCAGTCAGAGGCTGAAGCAGTTGGAAGTTTGAACAACCACGTGAAGCTGTCTCTTTTTGTTCAGTGACATTTTTAGGAGATGAACCGTTCAGAGCGATGGAAAACAGCAACAGTTTTGGTCATTTCCCTCCAAATCTCACCTGGGACTTTCCTTCTATTGAGTTGGATTTACATTCTGAAATAGGCATGTGGCTGCTTTGCCATTTTCAGTTTCACTTAATGCTATCTCCAAAGACGTTTTCCAATCCACCTCTAAAGAGCTTTTCAGCAGTGAAAGCACTTGCACTTTGAAGGCACCTATAGAGGCGATTTGGAAGGCTGACTATCAGGAGAACTGAGCAGAAGGGGCTCAAGGAGGGATGACATTCCTGTGTTGCAATTGTATTGGGAAATACAGGTGTAAAACTGGTTTCAGTATGCTTTGTCTCACAGACTGTGTCTCCAATCTGCTTGATAGTCAGATAGAGAGGGATATAAAAAATAGCCAGGAGAAACGATGATATGGAGAATATAATTACAGAAGGTGAAGGGAAGGATACAGATGGTATCGTTAGAGAAGGTGAAGGGAGCTGACTTAGCTGAAGCTTGGATGGAGGTGGGATGATGATGCCTGGATTCATCCATCTCTGCAGGTGGGGGAAAAAAAGCAGGGTTTGTAGTTCCCTGTGAAAAGAAGCTGGAGGTCACCAAAATCTAGAGCAGCCCCCTGGATCCCTGCAGGTATGCATCAGACAATGAAAGCGTAGGAGGCCAGAGTTGTAGATAACATGGAATGGCTAATTCTGGCACTTTCCCCTCCTGTTCCAGTTTGATCCTGACAACACTGGCTACATCAGCACCGAGAAGTTTCGTTCCCTTCTCCAGAGACATGGCTCAGAGCTGGACCCCCACAAGCTAGAGGTCCTCCTGGCCCTGGCAGACAGCAACTCAGAGGGAAGGATCTGCTACCAGGACTTCGTCAACCTGGTGAGTGCTCCGACTGGCAGGGCCTGTCAGTCCTTAGCTCTGCTTAAAATGCTGTCTAGAGAGGGACATCCTCCCTTCCTCCCTCAACATCACTGTTTGCTGTCTCCCTACATCACACTGCATGGGCTTGCTGAAGCATTCAGTGGTGGCTGAACTCTTAAGCAAAGAGTCAAGTTGCTGATGATTTTTTCCAGGGAGACATGGTTGCATGGGAAGAACCTGTGGGAATTGTTGTAAGAAGAGCATTAAGCAGTGGTTGCTGATAGTTTAGAGGCTCTTCCTCTTGATATCAGTTGGTAGCTTTAATAAGGAGCCATCTGTTCACAAGCAGAGGTCTGTCAGTCTGGGGGTCTCCTGTTGTATTGAAGGATTTCACCACTTCCAGAAAAAGCATATAGATGAATGTTTGTTGACTTGCTGGGTAGAGTCATATTGCACTGCTGGAGACATCTATAGCAGGAGGGAGATAGTGTTTCTGGGTCATGTTTGTTATAACCCAGGTAAGATGTCTCAGACTGCATGAGTCGTGATCTGGATACCTCTTTATCTCTACTGATGTGTCAGTTAGTGAAGGGATCTCTCTGTTTTTCATCAAGGCAGTTTGGCCAGCCAGCACAGATGTAGACGTGTGCTATTAGATACCCAAGATGGCCTAAAAATCTTTTATTTATTTATTTATTGCAAAACAGGTCTCTTAGGCAGTAGCTGTTCCAGGCACTTTGTCCTGTTCTTGCTCTGTCATTCCCCATCTGAGTCCCAGCAGACTTATTGCAGCAGGAAGAGAAACCTGGGTGTCAAAGGTTATGAGCAGAGAATGACAGTGACGTTCTTCAGGTTTTGCTGGAAAGTTGGTTCTTGATGCAACATATAATCTGTTTAATTTGTAATAATTTGTAACCGTGTACCTGCAGTCAACATGGGGATTTGATCCCTCATTTTGGGGGATTGGACTAGATGATCTTTCAAGGTCCCTTCCAATCCCTAACATTCTGTGATTCTGTGCTTTGTCATATTCACTCGTGCATCGTCCTCTAGGTTTAGAAAAAAAGCGTATTCTAAATGTGAGACAAGGCATATAATCAGAAAAGCATTGTAACAGGGCACAGCTGTCAAGGATCCGGGTTACAGCCTCAGTCTAGCAGTGGTCAGTGTGAAGATGAAATTACATGGATACAATGATATAAAATAGATCTGCTGGACCTAATTGAGCAGTATTATTAGCCCTCTGCATGTAAAATAAATGAAGAACTATTAAGTACCTCACAGTGAGTGTGAGGTTTCTTTCAGTTCTACCTTAATAAACAGAGTGGTCAATAGTACTCTGTGATCAGCAGTGTATTTATAGTAACAGCTGCTTGTTCTACGGTTTGGTATGTTCAAAGAACCATGTAAGCATTAACTAATCGAACAGCACAACACTTAGGTAGTGGGAAGAGGTATCTTCTGACTTACTTTACAGAAATGATGGCCCAAGGCCAGCCAGAGCGTTGGCAGCAGGCTCAGGAAGAGAACAGGGCTTTTTCTCTCTCCTTGCTTTACTGAGCTTGAGAGCAGAGCAAGCTAATGAGACAGGTGGGAGGTGAAAGGCATGGACGGCCTCCTCCTCCTTTGGGAAATGGGAGTTGGTAGCGGTCTGCACCTGCCTGAAGTGATTTCTGCAGAATGGCGAATTGCCTTCATTGCTGTTGAATGACTCCTGTAAAGAAGTCATTGATTTTCTATCATCAGCCCTTCTATCCTCCTTATCTGCATTTTTCGCCCTTGCTAATCGATAGCTAATGCAAATGCCAGAACACTTAAATTACTTACAAGTGGCATCTTTCTCTCTCTTCCTCCAGTTGCTATTGATTTCCAACATCCAAAATTTTTAGGGCACCTTTTTCCCTTGCTAGTTTCCTGCTCCCAAACCTTCCATGTGAACTTCCTGATGAAAAGAAACACCACAGTTGGCACACAATTGGAACTCTGAAGTTGGTGAAACACCTCTGATTCACTTTACAGGTGTCAATCTTGGAACAAGCAGTTATGCGGGGCAGTATTAAGCATGTGCTTTGTGCTTGATGATCATCATCCATCTCTGCTTTTTGCTGAGTTTAATTTGTCTGTTTTGGTAGTTTAGAAAGAATCAATATGCTCTCAGAAATGATGGTGCTGGATCTGGGGACCAGGAAAGCTTGACCCTTTTCTAGATCCACAGAGTCTTTACAAGGCTGGCTCTGTATGTCTGCTTTTTAGTTCTTCATCAACATCCGTGAACAGATACCCTCACATGATCAAGCACTGCTGATCAGTGGATCCCTCATGGCCTCTCAACCACATCCAAGGTACTAAAAATTTGAGCAAGAGGCAAAATGGCACCAATGAAACTCTGGCCACCAGAGGGGCTTTGAGGGGACGAAGGGGGCTGAGTATCTGAGATGTTTTTAGGTGCAGTTGTCAAAGCAGATGTGTGAAAGTAGTGGCGTTCCTACTGGGGTGGTTCACAAGCAGCCCTCATGGTTTCTTCCCAAGCTTGGTGATGAAAAGAGCTGATAAGCTACCTGCAACACTGTCTTACAAAGCTTCAAAGTCAAAGTGGTTATCCCCACAGCAGAAAGTAGGGTTTAACCAATGGTCCTCAAGGGAACTCAAATGTTCTTCCCTGGTCAGTTCCTGGGATACAATAATCCTCTCTGTTTTTTCTATAAGGTGTGTTCATTTTGATAAAAATTGAGTTGGGAGGGTCCTTCCTTTTTTCAGCCTTTCAAAACCCGTGATCTTTGCTGCGTTCCCTGGATGTGTGATAGAATGAGGTGCTGCTTATTCTGCAAGTGCTTGGATACTTGCTAGAGAGTCCAATGCTGAGAGATGCTGTTAGTGACTTCAGAAGCCATTGTAACTCTGTGATGTGATTATTTCCAAGAGATAGTACAGGCCATAAACTTCACAGAGCAATACTGTTGATTCACAGAGGGGCAAAGTGGAGGTGATTCAGGCTGCAGTGGTAGCTTGTGTTTTGTTCTTGTGAAAATAAAGTACATAACTCTTAGCCTTGCTCTGGAAAAGGAAAACTTCTATAAAACCTAGTGTTTAATAAAGCAGACTTACTAGAAAAGTAAATCACAGCTTATATGGAGACTAAAGCAAAATCTGTTTTGCAGCCCAATGGATCTCGCTGCCAGTGCAACTCCACAAAGCAGCCTAGTTCTCTTGAACCAAGTATGTTGTAAAAGCTGATGTAGATTTATTTAATGTGGTCCAGATTGGACCTGCCAGCATGGGACAGGAGAATTCTAGGGGAAGGGAGTGTGTTTGCCCCATTGCTTCAACACTGGCACTACCCTGGGAGGTGCCCTAGTGCATACTGTAGGTCCCACTATCCCTGGTTTGGATTTCATGTTTAAAGGACAGGACTGGAAGTCAGGTGGACCTAAGTTTTGTTTCTGGCTCTGCAGCAGAAGCACTGTGAATCTCTGCGACAGAGTTCATTGCATACCTTGGGAAAAGCAAAAACACTACTGCTTCCAGCAGAAATGTTTAGCTGTAGCTTTGCAGTAACTTGAAGTTGATGTCATATTGTGATGGTGAGCAAAATATATTAGCTAATTAAACCCATGTCCTTTGTTTTCCTGATGAAGGGTTAGCACCTGCTTTGCTTTCCCTGGCCTTGTTGGTTTTCAGGGACAGGCTAACTCTTTGTCATTTTCTGTGAGGCATTTTAAACACTGCGTAACAATAATCAGGTCACCCTAATCCCAACTTTGCTGGTGCCAGCATCTTTACCCTCCAGAGGAAGATTTCCTTTCGTTTTTATGATTTTTCTCTCTGGTTTGCTTGGAGTATGCTGCCAGACTGCAAATCCTGTCACTTCGAGAGAAGAAATAAAATTGCAGATGCAGGCTAAGAACTCTGCAGCCTTTGCTACAAGTGATGGATACACAGGTCTATTGGCTGTGAGAGGAGGATAACTTTGCAATAGGTTCTTACTTCATGGAAGAGGCTGGAACATAAGCTGTTGGTGGAAGGTTGCCTTGTGCTATATCCTGCTGAGCTGAATGCTCAAAGGGAGACTTAATCTCAAAATAAGTTTCGAGTTGAGTGTTTTAAGATTAAAAGGCTGCTGCAGAATAACCCTGGACTTCAGTTCTAGTGGCCTTGTCTGATGCATGTAGTTTTGTTCTTCCTGCTGCTAATCTGGAAAGGTTTGTTGCAGGAAAAGCTACAGATTTCATAGCTCTATCTCTTCCTCTTTTTGTTTTGTACTAGCTGCACCACTGAACCAGGGCATGTACCCTGCCAACCATTAAGATGACTCCCATCGCTGACCTTGGGCTTTCCTTCAGCTTCCAATGGGACATCCATTTTAGTGCTTCCTCTATCCTTGATTCACTGTCTTGGCTGAAACTCCAGGATTCCTGAGCTCTCATCCTGGCCTTAGTTCAGAGATATAATAAATATTTAATTTTTAAAAAGGTTTGAAAATCTCTTACTTCAGTATTTGTTCTAATATTATGCTGAGTAAGAAATGCTTCTTCTCAAGAGATGGATGGTTGTGCAAATGAGTGGTTATCTGATTGTGTCCTTATCCATCCCCTACCTCCTCAACATATTAAAGCCCTCACTGGGGTGAAAGTTCTTACTCCAGGGAGCACTTCCAGGAACTGGATATCCTCCTGACAGGTGTTCTTCACTGCTTTTGTGTTGTTTTCCTTTCCATTTTGGAGAAAATGAGTCGTGTATCGTTTTTAATACTCCAAGAGCTTCTTGCATCTCCTGAGGGGGGAAAAAAGCCACCAGGGGGTCAGGTGGGTATCTTGAAACTGAGTAACCGGCATGCAAGAACTTCTTTTGAAGAGTGTTCAGCTTGTACATTGATCTGACTCCATTAGATACTGGCTGCGTATACCAGCAGAAGAGAGCATTTTCTTCCAAGTGAACTAGTTGGGCCAATCATTATGCCAAATAAAGTGGAACTTAGCATAGAAATTTCCATCCTTAACCATGGTTCCTCAGCTGTTTCC